GGAGAGATCGACCGGCGCACAGAGAGATTGGCTAAGACTGGCGTCTTTCGTTTGGGCCCATATCTTTCTGGTCTTCAGGTTTGTACAAACTTTATTGTCCACCCATAGAATTAGCAGGCTAAATCAAGGTCGGCAGATTTTGGGTATATTATAAGCAAATGGGCTAAAAAAACCTAATTATTGAAATAAATAAAATAACAATCTATCTCTAACAGTATATTTTCATAGAGACAGAAATAAAATCTTAGATAACATGAAGCCCAGGCCACAAGAATAACTGGAAATTAACATTCCCATATGGACCCATATTGTCACATAACACATGAAGGAATGGGAACAGAATAATTAGTGTATGTTTGGACGCACTTTTGTAATGGACTTTTGACTATAAAAGTCCATTTCCAATATAAAAAGATGTTTGGTGTAAACAACAAAATGGACTTTTAAAAAAGTAACTCCTACAAAAAGTCCATTTCAAAGAAGTTCATATTGAAGACTTCTTGAGAAGTCACTTTTCAAAAAGTCCATCTTGAAATGGACTTATCAATAAGTGTTTCCAAACAAGCCCTTAATTACCCTATTGGCATTTGAACTTAACTACCCGGACCAAATCAATCTGCAACAATATTATACACTAAAGAAATATTTTTTAAATGCCAAGACATCAAAATATACATATTACAACAAGAGACCGAAAAATGAAATGATTAGCATACTAACCTGCGAAGCAAATGCGTTGAAACTAATGATTGGCCCCGCAATATAAAGAGGTGCATACACCAAATAGCACAAGTATATTGGAAAAGAGAACTTGTCAGATGTAACTCTTTTTTCCTGGGAAATGTATCAATAGTTCATCCAAAAGAATCATATGTCAGAATACAAAATTATCAGTCACCAAATCATTGCGATAGCAAATCTGTTGCTGGGTTGAGGTAACCTGTAAGATCAGGTAGCATGTCTTGCCTGATGAACAATGGTCACAATTCTGAACATGCTTCTACAGAAAGAAAATAAATGCTAAACGTCAGAAAAACACAACCACGAACATAAACAGACATGGATTTTTCTACCTGTACATAATTTGGGTACACAATGGTCTCGAGATACTCACATACAATGATATCTGCTCACATTTTATTAAGTCAGCCCACTGCATGTGAGCGTATGGACACCAATACATAAGTAAAATTATGTACATGTAGTAACGTTACTCAAGAGATATAACCCCTCCCACAATTGCTAGATTGAACACTAATTACAAATAGTAGCAAATAAGACAAACATGAAAACAAACTACCAATTACATATATTAGGAAATCCAATTAACTTTTCTAAAACAAGAGTCAAAGGGAAGCTTTTTGAACCAGAGAAATGGAGATATATTCACAACATTTTGTCCACAATTATATGAATGTCAAATACATTTTATCATAAAGTGTGATAAAGCTTCTGCTCATGGAATTAGGGCGGGGCTTTAGGGTGTGTTTGTAAAAGAATTTACTCAAACCAAATTAATTCATACTCAAAATCTAACTCAGCTTTAACTCAACCTCACTATCAATATTATCAATATAATTAAATAATAACAACCAATCATTTTTACACATCATATCAAATTTAATTTACTATTCATCCACTCACATAATTTTAACTAACCATCACTTCATATCATCTCTCTCCTACTTTTACATCAAATCAACTTTAATTATTTTATTTTAAATATAATTTTAATATACTCTCAAATTCCACTAACAATTAACTATACTACTTTTTTCGAAATAAACCATAGTTAACTAAAAAAAACTCACTTTGAGTTAATTTGATTGAATTTATCCTTTTTATAACACACTCTTAATATCACAATTAACGCAAAGTGTTCAGAACACCATCAGAATATAGCAGTAAAAGGTAGATGGTGGGTATAGTAGTAAAAGGTAGAAGGTGCGCTGAGATATCAATAGAAGAATATTTTGGTCCTGGAAATCAGTTACGAAGCATTTCCTACGTGAGATGACATAATTTGTGTAAGCCCAAAATGCAAATGTAGGAGGTCAAAGTATCTCCAAGCAAAAGGCAGAAAAGGTGTCAAGGATGAATACATCAAACAGCCTTGAAGGCTGGTATCAGAAAAATTAATCTATACCTTTCTATCAAAACGAGTATTTTCATCAGTCCAATGGTAGTCATATCCAAAGCTTATCATACGCAGTACAACTAGAAAAAATAGCCAAACACGTATAAAGAGAATTAGTATGAAAGGGGTGTAAAATCAAGGGCCATAAAGCATGTTAAAGAATATGCATGCCTATGCAATGTTTTTATTAGGACAACTAAGAAATACATAGGATAAGGACTTAAAGGGATGACATATAAACTTTTTCTGATTTTCTCCATGATCCATATACGGACACAAAAACATAAGATGGCAAATGGTGGCAAATGGTGTATACTACTGCCCGATATAATGATGGAATAAAGAAACAAGAACATCTAAAAATTAAAGAACCAAGTGCGATCCTATAAAATACACAAGATATGAAGGGGGTCTAATCATAAATGTGCACACGTCAGATTGACAGAAAGATGCTGCAGAGATTCCAAAAGAAGAAAGATAAAGGATACCAAAATTGAAGCAGATATGCCATCTGAAGGTGCCCCGGAAGTAATCCAAGAAAGCCCAGTGTTGTCTGAACCGATAAAAATAGAAACAGGACTATAAGCACTTAAACCTTGAATTTGAAAGTAGATTCTATGTATCTTCCAAGTTCAGGAGATGCCTTAAACCACTTACCCAAAACTGGAGAATTTGTATCCCTCATAAATACGATTACAGACAAGAAATGATAAGTTAAAAATCCAGAGCACAAGTGAGAAGTATTTTGTTCTTCCAAACATCTGCAGAATCAAATATCTGGTGATCAAGATTAGAATCGTTTTTGACAAGATAAAGGATCCCAAAAGTTACAACTTGAAGTCATATCTGAAAAATACAATACAACATTAGCAAAAAGTTCAGGGAGCATTAATATGTGTGTGTGGGTGTGTGTGTGCGGGTGCAAGACCTCCTACTACAAATATATATATAAAGAAAAAAAACAAGAAAGTCAATTATTTTTGTGCTAATTTAGCAACCAAACTAATTAGCAAGTACCAAATATATCAAATCAAAGAAATCTAGTCTCTATTTAAATTATGCATGATATCTTCATTCTTCACTACTCTTACAAGACCATTAATGCCTCAGATCACAACACATAAGATCCAAAATCAATCCAATCATGTCATGCGGTTAATAACACATCAGACATCACATGTGGGGTGTTGCATTAGGCTCATTACCAACTTTTTTTTGGAACATTTACTAGTGAAGATACATGAAATGTTGTAGCAATTACAAAGAAGAAAAATAAAAAGGTCAAGGGAAACACACCTTTACGAGGAAGAAATTAGCCGATGCAATAGCAATTATAAACATGATACTGTAAAGAGGGAGGAAGAGTAACCTTTAGCACATCAACTAAAGCATCAGCATAACATACATAATCCTTACAACACATCAATGTATTTACCAGGCTCCATGTAGATATGATAGATAAGCCAAGGAGATCATAGTCCAGACAACGGACATCCCCTTTGCTTCCAAAGAAAACGATGATCGAAGCACTTTGGCAACCAATGTAAATATAACAAACACCATGGTGAGAGTGGGCAAGTTCCCCCTGAAATTTCTCCATTGGGCGTCGGAGGCATCCTTAAAAGAAGATGGAGAGAAAGAATATGAAGTTAAAAGGCATATATGACTAGTTAACAAAGTTTTCTAAACTTGGTTTAAATGGACCAACCAGAGATATCAAGTATAAAGTAACTGAAACAAGAGACCAGTTTTCATCTAGTACACGAATTTACTACCCTTGTTTGATTGTTGATGTTCTCTTCGGACTTCAATCTTTAAAATAAAATTATTCTAATTGCTGTGTTAGAATATCACTTGTGAGTTGTCCCACATTGTTCACACATAGAAAATAGACTCACCTTATAAGTGTAATAGGCTACTCCTCCTTCCACCAATTGGTTTTGGGATGGAACCCCATTGGGCTTCATTTGGGTTTTTCCCGCTTTAGTGTGCTTCATGTTAGTGGGACCACACCGTTTTCCCTCAGTTTCTTACATGGTATCAGAGCCGGTTCTATTGGCACCGTGCAATGACGTACCCGTTT